CACATTAAACAACAAAGTGGTCCCGTGTTCATTTATCCTTTGGACAATCAAGCCATTGGCCATGAACCAACCCAGTCCCGGGAGAACGGCCTCCTAGGGGCCACACTGCCAAGCTCCAGGGTCCACTGCTTTTTCCCTCCCTCCCGCTGGCAACCTTGCCACCCCAATACAGCGGTCAGTGACAGGAAAAGCTGGCACCGTGGGCGCCTCCCGCGGAGACCCTGACAGTCGGCATTTTGCTGGCGGCCCTGACTTCGCAGATCCACACCACTCCCCTCCCCGGTCGCTTTTCATGTCCTCAGCCCCCTCCAGAGTCCCAGATACCGCCACCTCCGGCCTGGCTCCTCGCTGGCCTCCAAGTGTTTCGCTTACTCCCAACCATCCCTCCTCCTCATAGCAGCCGGAGGGATCTGCCAAAAAATGGCCCTAGTTGTTTCTACCTTCCAGCCTGGATTCCTCCATGGCCCTAGTTGTGGCCTTTGGGATTGGGTTCTGCGCTCCCCAGAGACTGGCACGTCACGCCCGAGGAGCTGCTGGTCACAAAGCCAGACCCTCCCATCACGGCGACCCTGCTTCAATGTCAGGCACTATTCCAATCGCTCTGAATATATTGACTCAAAAAATATATATATATTGACGCATATATTCCTTGCAATTACTCATTTCACATCAGAGGAAGCAGGCACAGAGAAGTTAAGTGACTTGCCCAAGGTCACACAGCCAGGAAAGGGCAGAACTAGAACCTGAACCCAAGCAGCCTGGCCCCACAGTCCCTCATCTCAATCACGGCACCATATGGTGGCACCCTGTCCACAGCACATCCTGGACACCTGCCCTGGGTGTCTCGGTGCTTCTCCCACCCCCAGTGGCTTCCATTACATCAAATCCTGGCATCCTTCTTCCTCCGCTCATGATGAGTCTATGATGGCTCCCTACTGCCCAGAGAATAATGTCCAGAGACCCTTCGTGCCGGCACTTGAGGCCTTGCAGGCAGCCCCGACCCCCTTTCCAAGCATATTCCCACCACTCTGGACCACACGCCGGGGTGCGTGTCATTCCCGGACGCCCCCCGCCCCAGACAGTCACCTGCTTCCAGGTTCTGGCTGTTCCTCCCTCAGGGAGACTACTCTCTCGACCCTTCTCTGCGCTCCCCCATGGGTCAGAACTCACTTCACGGAGACAGAGAACTCCCCTGGGGAGCTCTCGCTCTCCCGGATCAGGAAGGCTCCCAGGTGGTTCCGCTTCATCAGAATCTCTTCGGCCAGTTGCCGGGAAATCCTGCCCGAGTACCACCTGCAGAGAGAGGGGCCGAGTGAGGGCAGTGGGGAGGCCAGGGTACCCCTTCCCCGTGTGCCGGGTGTCCAACATTGCGGATCCTCACGGCGGTCCCGAGACACAGGAGATGTGATTGCACCCATTTCACAGATGAGGAGCCCGAGGCTCAGAATCGCACAGCAACGAGCCCAAGGGTACACGCCATGGCAGGCAGGAGTGGGGACCCGATCCCGGCATTCTGGCTCCTGAGCCCAAGCCAGGCAAACATATTATGAAATGAGAAATTATGAAATGAGAAAAATCAAAATTTAGGGCGCCTCGACCTGGCCAACCCCAGCTGAGCTCCTCTGTTTTAGATGAGAGATTCTGAAAAGTGAAAAAAAAAAAAAAAGAAGAAGAAGAAGAAAAAATGGAGGGCAGAAGCACTAGCAGTTTCCCTGCACCCATTTCACAGATGCACAGACTGAGGCCGTCTGGACTTTTGCTCACAGGTCCAAGTCCCTTTTCTAGCTGACCAAATAGAACTGGGTAATGCAGAAGTGGTTGGTAAATGCTTAGAGTCGTGCAAGACCCCCACTGCCCCTCTGCCCCCAGTACCTGGAGGCAAAAGGCTGGGGCTCAGCTTCTCTGCCAGGCCTGCCCATCTCGCTGTGTGGCCCACGCAGCCCCGGCCTCTTTGGGCCTTGCCCACCCTTGTAGAAACCAGGTGGTTTCTGGCTGGGCCCTTTCTTGTTCAGCTGGAGAAACTGAGGCCCAGAGCAGCCAGAGTCTGATGGTGGCACCACGGCCAACCCCGGGTGGGGTCCAGAGATTCCGTCCCTCGTCAAGCTTCCCTTCCCTCTTTCAGCAAATGTTTCCTGAGTCTGAGTTTGGCACCGGGGGCGGATGTGAGGTGGGACTTTTCCTGTTGTGTCAGGATGTTGACGAGCCCTCGAAGCCCAGAGCCAGGGCGATAGGTGGAGCGGCAGCTGCCGGTGGTGTCCCACCGCGTCCCCACCGTCCCCACCGTCCCCTCACGGGGCTGGGCCAAATGCGAACACCGGGGTTCGGCCCCGGGGCTTTTTTCTGGTGACTAACACAGGCCTGTGTGCAGGGTGGACCGAGCCCCCGGAACATTCTCTGAGACGAGCAGGTGGACAAACACTCGCCTCCCTGCCCCGATGGAACACTCTGGGGTGCCTGTGCCGCGTCCTCTCCCTCCGGTGCCCCTCCTGTCTGTCGCCGCCGTCCGCGGCCGTGTGGACAACTGGCTCCTTCCCTGCCCGCCTCCCGCTCCAAAATAAAGTTCTCGTCCTCCCACTGCGTCTCAGGTGCTGCTTCTGTGGAGCCCACACCCAGAAGCGAGGCTTAGCCTACTGCTGTCCCCAGACTGGTGGGGACCCCGAGCCCATCTCACGGTGGATTTTATGGGAGGGGAGGCAGAGAAGACGGCTGCTGAGTGTGGGGGCTCAAGGCCACCATCTGGAAAGCTCGGCCCGGGTCCCCGGAGTTCGGGAGGCCGAGCTGGGAGGCCGCGGCCCCCAGCAGGACACAGGTGCAGGTGCCGTGTCCCAGTGGGGCCCTGAGTGGGCGTTTCCTGAGGGCTCGGCTGTCTCCAAAGAACCCACAAAACCCCATAGGAGGCGTCAGTGTGTGGGCGGCCGTCACCCTCAAAGGCTTCGGCAACCACACCCTCTGAGGAGGCCAGCCCTGCCCCCGCCCCGTCAGGAGAAGGCAGGGCTGGTCCTCAGGTGGCTTGAAGGATGGGGTGCGGGACAAGCATTTCCTGAGACCTCCAGAATCCAGCTGTCTCCACTGTCTGCCCTGGAGAGATTGCAGGAGCCTCGGCTGCTGTGAAATGGCTCACGCCCCTCCCCGCACAGCACTCGCTTAGGCCTGTCTGCTGCCCTCCCTGGCAGACTTCTACTGTAACTTCCAGGCCCAGCAGACCATGCCCTTCCTCTGGGAAGCCCTCCCTGACGGCTGCCGCGGGCACACGGCCAGGTGGGTGCCTCTGGGGCCCCTGGTCGGTATCACGGTTCCCCCAGGGGCTCCCCAGGCAGGCAGGGGAGACAGTGGGGGTGCTCAGGGAAGGAGTGGGGCTGGTGTAGGATGAGGCCTTCTGGGACCCCAGCCCGCCCCAGCCCTCCCCCTCCCCTTCCCCCCACACCCGGGGGCCCGACGGGCTGAGTCAGATGCCGAGTTTCCCCACCGCTATTGTGGGGCCAGGGAGGGTGCTGAGGTTAGCCAAGAACACATCTGGGCATGGCCTGGCAGGTGGGTTGGGGGCCTCACCCCTGTCCCTGCTCTGTCCCAGATGTAAGTGGCTAGAACTGACCCCCGGGACCCCAAGGGCCTCAGACACGGGGACCCTCCATGGCTTCCAACAGGTGCGGTCTTGTCTCAGCCACCGGCGTCCCCCAGATAGGCCTGGCCCTGCACCGAAATCTTGGGTCAGCAAATGCGAGCTTCTCTTCGGGGCTCCTCAGCAGCTTTGTGCCTTCTGGGCTTCCGGCCTTCATCAGGCCATTTCCTCCCCCTGGCGGTCTCTCTCTGACCCACCGGCCCACGGTGGTCACTCCTGCCTGTGTCCTCCATTGGCTTATGGATTCCCTGGGGCACCTGGCATTTCTCTCTCTCTCTCCCCTCATGCTCTCCCTTTATTGACCGAAAGACTATAAGGCCAGAGGGACAGATATCTGCCCACAGGGCCACCGCAGGGTCTGGATGTCATAGCTGCAGCCCAGGATGTCGGCTAGAGGCAGCAGCCTCTGTGTGGGGAGGCTGGGGATGCCTGGAACCCAGGCAGGGTAGCTGGGGATGTGGGTGGGACGGGGCCCTGCCCGCACAGGAAGCCGGAGGTGGTAGCAGCTTGGAAATAACTCGAAGGCAGATAAAGAGGAAATACCCTGACCCTGCACTGCCCTCCCCTGCTAACTCACCGTCACACACACCTCATGGCTTCCAGTCTGTCCCCTCCAGCCTGCATGGCCCTGTCACACGCCTCCACCTGTGACAGGGTCCCTCCCCTGCTCAGCCATCGCCACGCTCCCCACCACCGTGAGCCTGGCATCTGAGGCCCTCCTGCCACGGGCTCTTCCTCATTGTCCTCTCTGTCCCCTCTTCCAGGAATGCCTTCCTCTTCTGCTGCTTAGCTAACTCCTGCACACCCTTCAAAACCTCATTCATTGTCACCTCTTCTGAGGAGCCTTCCCCAGTTACCTCAATGCTGACGGCCTTCCCATCTCGTGCTTTCTTTATGACCTGTCGCTCCCACAGGATGGGGCTGCTCCGACCCCAGCGTCTCATCATGTGTCTCTGGCATCACCCAGCTAGGCCCCCTGGGGCTGCGGCTAGTGTTTGATGAGTGACTGAGTGAGGGGCCTACCTCCACCCTCATCTCAGGCATATCCAGTCAGTTTTTCATAGGTTCTTGGCCACTTGGGCCTGTTCTGGGGCCGGGGTCGGCCCCGGCCCTTCTCAGGGCAGCGGCGTGGGAGGAGGCCACCTGCTGAGGGCATGCCGGGAGCTTCCCTGGGCCAGCAGGTCCCAGGTCCCAGCATGCCTGGCCCCACACATGACACCCACTCTTAAAGAGGGCTTGAGAATCCTCTGCAGATTGAAGCCTCGGCCCTTCTTGTATTACAGGTAAGGAAACTGAGGCATAGAGACAGCAGGACCTGCCAGAGACCCCACCGCAGCCAGTGGCCCAGCTGGCTGAGAGCCCAGGGCCCTGTCCCCTTCAGCACTCTCCTGGGCGTTCTCTGGTGTTCCAGGCCCTCAGGGGCGTGGCCTGGGCTGGCCCTGACCCTGCCACCACTTTGGTCCTCACATCTCTGTCCTCTGCCCCTGCTCAGCAGAGACACTGATGACTAGAAGCCAGGGGCGTGCTTAAGGGGTGCCCTTCGGGCAGCTCGGCTCGGCCTGGGCCAGGCCAGGTGAGGACACTTGACTGCAGGGGCTGGGGCCGCCTTGAGGGTAGGGCCGGGGCAGGGGGCGGGGGGGGGGGGGGGGGGGGGGGGGGGGGCAGCCACTCACGGGTGGGGCTTGACGCGGATGTAGTTCTTGGGAATAAAGCCCTCAGCACCTCGCAGCTCAGCCTTGTACCAGTTCTGATCATCTTCCATGTTCAGGATCTGCAGGCGGGAGGGACAACGGTCATTGCTTACCGAAGAGGCACGGCTGCCACCAGCTGAGGTCTCGCTGCTCAAGGACCCCAGGTGGGCATCACCCATGCCAGCCCAGGACCCACTTCACAGGGGAGGGTTGGGGACCTGCCCCAGTTCACGAGGGCCGTGTCTGATTTCAGGCCCCGGGACAGCCTGTCCCCAAGAGGGTCACAGACTCCCCAGGTTGGACAGCTGGGGACCCAGTGAGGTTTTGGTCAGTGCATTGAACTTTAGGGGGGCCGGAGCTGGACTCCCAGGCAGATCTGGGGGGGCAGATGTGGGGTGCCTCAGTTCCTGAGCTGTGCCCCTGAACATGGGGTTTCTGCAGCATTTGCATGCCGTGCACCGAGCCATGGGGTGAAGGTCTTAGGGACCCTGGAAGGTCGGGGAGCCCCAGTCTGAGCTCAGCGCCTACTGGTGGTCACCTGGGGTCACTTACACTTAAACAACCCTTATAATCTGAGTTCAGGGGTGACAATGCAGGGTGGTGGGGATTCAGGCACCAGAGAGCAAAATAAAAGAGGTCTTTGGGCTAAGATGTAGCCGAGGCCTGGCCTGCCCAGGTCACATGGGCTCCTCGTCCATGGCGTGAGATCTCTGCAGCCCCACAGGTGGGTCGAGAGGAACTGAAACAGCCCTGGTTGGGCTGGTAGTTGCAGTGGATGAGCGACCAAGCGGCCGCAGGGAGGAACAGTATGTACAGAATGAATCTTGGGGCCCCTTCCTCCTTTCCCCGGGGCAAGCCTTCCGTGGGACAGCTCATCACCAAAGGCTATTTCACAGATGGGGACACCGAGGCCCAGAGGTGGGAGGCGAGCAAGGCCACCCAGCAGCGGGGAGGCAGAGCCCATACAGCAAGCCAGGACTCTGGGGCCTGGGGTTCCTGGCTCAGCTGGTCTGGGGGGACCCTGGCCCACTGGTTTTTACCTCCACTCTACCTCCTACTTGTGTCTGGACCCAGGGCCAAGGGGGCATCTCTCCTGTCAGTCCTGGAGCAGATGCGCACATCAGCTCAATCCTAGTGGGTATTTGTTGACAGGGGAAAAAAAATCAGATATAGAAGAGCATGCTACTATGGGGGCATTGCAGGTGCAAAGGGCCGGGGGGCAGGCAGACGCAAGGGCATCAACTTAGTTCCATTTTGCCAGGAAGAGCTGGGATTTGCTGCCTTGGGCCCAGGCCGTGCAGGTAGGCACCCCCTTGTCTGTCTGCCAGGCCCCGTTGACTCCTTCCTTCCTGAGTCTGTAGCCTGGGCAAGGTCAGCAGCCCCGGGGACAGACGGAAAGCAGGTGGCTGACTCAGGAAAACTTTTGCTGAAAACAAAACAAAAATAATTCCCCAACTTAATGGGAGAATTAAAGCCTGTGGGCTGTCTTCCATGGCCACAGATTCAAGGAAGATGCCCTGGAGCCTGGGGCTGGGCTACTCCGTCTGCTTCCGACTCTCTCTCTAGTTTTGGCATCAGTTTTCTCATCTGTGATGTTCTCATTAGCTACATTAGCTGAATTCTTTTTTTTTAAGTTAATTTATTTATTTTGAGAGAGAGAGAAAGAGTGCGTGCGAGGGAGGGGCAGAGAGAGAGAGAGGGAGAGAGAGAATCCCAAGCCAGGGACAGCACAGAGCCTGATGCGGGGCTCAGACTCACGAACCACGGGATCATGACCCGAGCCGAAATCAAGAATTGGACCCTTAAGCGACTGAGCCACCCAGGTGCCCCAGACTGGCTGAATTCTTACCGTTAAAATTGTTCAAAAGCTACAGACCCCTCTGGGCCATGAAAACCGACACCAAGGAGACAGATCAGCTCCTCCCTGGTGAAATTCACACCTTGGCTTGCCCCCGGCCTTTACCCCCATGGGTGCCCTCCACCCAGGACACTGTCCTACCCCAAGGCCCCCAGCCAGGGAATTCACTCATCAGTTATTTCCTGAGCACCTGCTGTGTGCCAGATACCATGCAAAGTCCTAGAGAGACAGCAGGGAACAAGCTTACATTGTGGGCAGAGGCAGACAATAAAGAAGGAAGGAAACAACTGAACAGGTACCTTAAACTAGTGGCAGGTGCTCCGAAATAGATCGAGGATGTCTGGTTGAGGGCAGGCAGATTGTCAACAGGGGACAGATGGGGTGGTCCAGAAAACCCTCCCTGAAGAGGTGATATGTGAACTGAGACCCCGGTTACAGGAAGGAACCGGAGGTGAGAAAATGCGGGGAACGGTGTCCAAGTCAGAGGGAACAGCCAGTGCAGGGGGCCCTGAGGTGGTAGCAAGCCCTGCTCTGGGAACCGAGAGGAGTCCAGAGGGTCTGGAGTTGACTCAGGAGGGCAGAACTGTGAGGAGAAGTGGGGAAGGCCAGCCAGGCAAGAGCATGTAGGGCTTGTATGCCACGGGAAGCTGTTCAGATTTTCCTTTAAAAGCCAAGAGAAGGGGCGCCCAGGGGGCTCAGTCCGTTAAGCATCCAACTCTTGATTTCGGCTCAGGTCATGACCTCACCGTCTGTGGGATCGAGCCCCACGTCGGGCTCTGTGCTGACAGTGCGGAGCCTGCTTGGGATTCTCTCTCTCTCTCTCTCTCTCTGCCCCTCTCCTGCTCGTGCTCTCATTCTTTCTCTCAAAATAAATAAATTTAAACTTAAAAAAAATAAAATAAAATAAAAGCCAAGAGAAGCCAGGGAGGGGCAGCAGGGGAGGCTCAGGCTCTGAGTTACAGCCACCGTGTGGAGACTGGGGAGGCCAAGAGCAGAGGCAGGTGGGGCAGTGAGGAGCTTGTGCACCTGCCCGGGGTCGGGGGAGGCCTGGAGGAGGAGGGCAGTCGGGGAGGGGGTGTGGAGAGGCGGTCAGGTTCCGGATAGGTTTCGGCAGAGTCGCTGACAGGACTCAACGACCGGCCGGGTACGAGACAGTTGGGGAGCAGCCAGGACGACTCGAGGGGGTTGGGCCGAGTGCTGGCAGGCTGCCGTGGGAATGACTGTCGGGGAGCAAGTTAGAGGGCTCAGGGTTGACGGCATTGGGTCCGAGGTGCCATCGACCTTGTCTCTGGAGATGCCGAGGAGGCTGTGGGCTCCCCGAGTCTGGGTCTCAGGGTCCGGGTCATCCGTGGAGAGATGGGGGTGAAGCCACCACCCGGCCCCCCTCCTTCAGCTGGAAACAGTGGGGTCCTGTGCACCCGGACGTGCCCAGCCTACCGGGGAGGATGCTTTGTTCCAGGAAGTGATGTCTGGGGCCGTGTGCCCAGTGTGGGTCTATGTGCCACCCAGGTCTCCTCCAAGACCAGAGCTCAGATGTTCTCACCTCGGGCTCCCAGAGGCTGGGATCTGCCTGCGGGCACTTCTGGGACAGGGCCCGGCCCTCAGGGGCGCTCAGGAAGCACCGGTTGGAAGGATGAACGGGATGGCTCCAGGAGCTGCGCCCCGCCCCACCCCACCCCACCCCAGCCAGGTGAAGGAGGGCCACCCGACCACACAGCGCCGCCCTGGCCTGGGAGAAGGGGGCACACAAGGTGACATCGTGCTCACGATTTTACAGTTGCACAGAGGGAGGGCTCTGCAAGAGTGAGGGGGGTGAGGCACCTCGGGAGCAAAACTTAAGGAGGCCCCAAGAAACGCGGGAATCGGGGTAAAGAATGTTTTAAGACAGTATGTTAAAAAAATAAAAGCCAGGCAGAAACTCTGAGTATGTTCGTTAGTTAATAACGTAGCCACATCAGCCCGTTAAGGTAAAAATTGCATGGTGGTTGTAGGTTTCTGCAACTTCAAGATTTGTTGTCGCAGAGCCTCACGGGGGGCTTGAACTCCTGAACTGTGAGAGCATGACCTGAGCCCAAACCGAGAGTCAGACGCTTAACTGACGGAGCCACTCAGGCACCTAAGGTCAAGGTGGCTGCCAGAGCATTTCCTCCTTTCCCAGAAGTGCCCTCCGTGTCATACCCCGTGGGCTGCCCTTTATCACCATCCGTGGGCTCTGGGCCACCCCCACCTTCTCCACCCTGGTGGCCTCTGGGACCTCACCCTCCACCTCCACCATCTGGAAAGATGATCTGAGCATCTTTGCAAGTCAGAAGCAACCTCCATCCACCTCCAGCCTTTATGAGACCCAGGACGTGACGCAGCTCCCGTGGGGACATCAGTCGTGTCTCTACCAGGGATGCAGAGAAAGACAAGGTAGACACACGAATGCAGCCACACAATTAAGTGCTCATCCAAGGCCACAGATATATTGTAGAAGATAAAATGCATAGAGGAGAACAGACGATCCCATTGCAATAACTCAAAATCACTTGGACATAGAGGACAGTCAGTCTGAAATTTGAAATGGACAGCGAACCATTACAAACCAGCTGTGGTTATTATATATTTAGAGATGGTGTCTAATCTGCCCCCTGCCCACCCTGTCCCCTCCACTTTGTCCTTTCTGGTGTCCCCTAATATACTTTGTCACAGTTGTGGGGGAAAAAATGGCATGGTGCTAATAATGTAAGATGTTACAGATAGGGAGGGATGGGTCCAGATGCCACTGTACTGTCTCCTTGATTTTTGTGTAAATCTGAAGCTGTTCTGGGGGGTCCTGGGTGGCTCAGCCGGTTAAGCACCAACTTCAGCTCAGGTCATGATCTCCTGGTTCGTGAGTTCCAGCCCTGCATCCGGTTCTGTGCTGTCAGCACAAAGCCAGGTTCAGATCCTCTCTCTGCCCCTCCCGGGCCCCGCCTCTCTCTCTCAAAAATAAACATTAAAAAAAAAAAAGAAAGAAAAGAAAACTTCTAAGGAGCGCCTGGGTGGCTCAGTCGGTTAAGCGTCCCACTTTGGCTCAAGTCATGATCTCACAGTTTGTGAGTTCGAGTGCTGTGTGGGGCTCTGTGCTGACAGCTCAGAGCCTGGAGCCTGTTTCACATTGTGTCTCCCTCTCTCTCTGTTCCCTCACCAGCTCTGTCTCTGGCTCCCCTGTCTCTCAAAAATGAATAAATGTTAAGAAAT